GGCTGGCTTTGAACCTCGATCCTCAGATCTCAGTCTCCTGATTACAGGTGGGAGCCCGATTTGGATTCGGTGTTTCTTAAGGAAGCTGTATTTGCCACGAGAAGTAAATCACACAGAACGTAACTGTTTTGCTCACTACTCTTCGTCCAGGAAAATGCCTGCACATAGTAGCTACTCAATGAATCCACACTTGGTGAACAAATGCATGGTTAAAGATGTGGACTCACACACCTAGAACAAGGGCCGCACCTGCACCTTTGCTCTGGATGGGGTGACTGGTCAAGTATGATATCTTGAGACACCTTAGCATCCACCATGCGGGATCTTGCTCTGAGCCTGACATGACAAGGCCTGGTCTTTATTTAGGACTGCGTGTGGTTTGTCAACGGAAGCAGGTGAATTGCCTCGTGGCAGGATGGCTGTGGGCTTTTTCCTGGAGGACATTTGCTATGACAGCTGGTTGCCCTCGGAGAGCAGGAAAGGCCAGGCATCTCCTAGGTGCCATGGGACAGGTGTGGCCTGTTCTGACAGACCTGAGCTCAACGTCTGGCCAGATCCCTTACCGATGGTGTCACCTTGGGCCAGAATCTAATCTCCCTGGGTTTTCTTGTATTTATGCGTGAAGGGAGAACAGTGGCTCGCCTGCCTGTCAGGGCAGCTCTAGCGACGAATGAATGAGGTCATGTTGACGGAGGCCTGGGAGACTGTCCCGCCCATAGAGCGTGTTTGGCCATCCATGCAGGGGCCATGTTTGTTTCTGGTTCAACCAGCACCAGTGCCTAGTCCAGAGCCTGGCACACAGTAGGTGCTTTAGGGAGTCTTTTGTTAAGTGCTTGGCCAATGGGTGAACGTATTTTTAAGTCAGTAGGTAAGGTTTCCATCTGCCAGAAAGAATTCTCTGTGTGCAAAACAAAACAACTTCCTCCTCCCCAAACACTATAATATATTTGAGCTTCGAAACCTTGGATCTTGGGGACGAATATGGGTGTCGATGGGCGTGGGCTCTGCTCCCAGTCGTCTCGGAGACCCTGACCTGTCCTTACATTTGTGGGGTGGTGGAATTTCCTCAGGCCCCACAGGAAGAAGAGGGTCAGGGAATCAAGTCCCAGGAGAGAGCGGTCCCTTCTTTGGTTCTGTACTGTAGAGAACACAAATGTTTCTTTGAAATTGACCTTCCTTTATTTGGAGCGGGGGAGAAGCAGTTGGTTCAATAATGGCTTTCCTGGTGCCTTTTCAGCCTTTTAAAAGACGGAAGAAAGATTTGGAGCAAGGCAAGGTTCCAGTGTTTTCTAAACAATTCACGAAGCCCAGCCACTAGTTGGCAGCCCGGCACTTCCTGCCACCCTCCTCTTTGCCCCTCCCCCTGCCCCTCCCCCCAGCCCCCAAACTGGTTACACATCTGCAGAAGACCAGCTACCTCTCCAGACTCTGGCCAGGCCTTCCCCAGGCGGGCGGGGCTGGGTTCTCCCTTGTCATACCAGACAGCTGAAGGTTTCTCTCTGACATCTCACACATGGCTCGTGGAGTAGAAATACTGCCATATTCTATTCCAATTATTTCCTCTCCCTTCCTGGCCATCTACCAGGGGCCAGATAAAGAGGTCCTTGTTTGATGGAGTCCACCCCTGCTCCTGGGTAAGTTAAGTGAGCGCTGGTCTCTGTTGCCGCAACTTGGGCTCAGACTACAGGGCTTAAAGGGTGGGGAGGAGTTGAGGGGGGGGGACGGGCGGCACACACAGGTGGGGAGCTCGCAGCAGGAGCCCAGAGGCAGGGTAACCCAACCCCACTCCCCAAAATAAAAATAAGGGAGGAAGGAAAACAAACGGGGCTCCTGAGCAGGACCTGTGGGGGGTGTGGAAAGGCGTCCCTCCCTTCCAGAAGGAATCCCAACCCTTCTCTCCTATGGAGAAAACAAACACAGTGATGAAATCTTGTACCCAGCCAGGCACCTGGCAGTCTAGCCCCCACTGGAAGTGATTGGTACCTGCGCTTCTTGCTTGCCAAACACCGTCTTCCCCCAGATCTGCTTTCGCTCCCTTCCCCCGTGAAGAGACTTCATGGAAAATTTAGAGTTTGGAACTTTCTTTGGATTCCAAAGGGACCTACTGTTGTACCCTGTGCCATTCTGACTTGGGTGCTACTGTAACTCAGAGGAAATAGGACCCCCCCCATCTCCATTTTGCAAGGATTTTCTTCCTAAATTATTAAGGAAGTGTTTATCCTGCACCTTCCTCTGTTTGGTCTCTTGGCTATCTTTTGGAGTCTCTCCCAAGCCCAAGGCCGAGAAACAAATGGTTCATCTCACCTGTTGGGTTTACAATGAAGAAGGATGTAGCAGGAGCCAGCTGGTAGAATGAGGTCCCCAGGAGACTGGGACACGGATAGTCAGAAGGTTTCCATCGGCAGGAGTGGAGAAGGAAGAGTATTGGGGCTGGGGGTAAGTAGCTCATGACTGCAATCCTAGTTACTCAGGAGACTGAGGTCTGACGGTAGTGGTTTGAAGCCAGTATGGGCAAGAAAGTCCATGAGATTCTTATCTCCAATTAACCACCAAGAAGCCAGGAGTGGAACTGTGGGTAAATTGATGGAGCACTCGACTTGAGCATAAAAGCTCAGGGACAGCGCCCAGGTCCCAAATTAGGGCCACAGCTTGGGGGACACTCACGTGCATGCATGCACAAGTACACTAGTTACGAGCATGTGCACATGTGCACACACACACAGAAGAGTATCAGGAGAGGGAAAAACCTCTTGATTCTTTTTTTTTTTTTTTCTCAGCATGGGGCTTGCCTGGGCGCTGAGCTTTTTCACTCTACCACTTTGAACGAACACTCTACCACTTTGAGCCACAGTGCCACTTCCAGTTTTCTGGTGGGTAATTGTAGATGAGAGTCTTTGGGACTTTCCTGCCCAGGCTGGCTTTGAACCACGATCCTCAAATCTCAGACTTCTGAATAGCCAGAATTACAGGTATGAGCCACCGGTGCCCAGCTCCTCTTGATTCTTAGTACATGGAAATTAAGGAATATTTCACTAAGGCATGGATAGAAAGGGCAGTGTGTGTGTGTGTGTGTGTGTGTGTGTGTGTGTGTGTGTGTAACATGCAAAGAAATGGAGCATAAACTTGATAAAGCACAGACCCCCAAGAGAGGGCACAGGGTCCCATACCACCAGGGGGCGGACGGAATGGGGATGTCTAAGCTTTGCCACATTTACCGCCTTTGCTCTCAGGGCACAAGGTTCTAAGGAAGCCAGGAGCTGCTCTGGGCCAGTGTTCCTCACAGCCTGGCTTGTGGAACACCACCAGATTTACCTTGGATCTGGTTATATATTCAGATATCTGGAATGTATCTGATTCACTGACTCCATTGCTGGGACCTAGGTAGCAACATTAAAAAAAAAAAACCAAAACCAAAACCCCAAAAAACACATCAGGTTTCATGAGTCTTCTCTGATAGTTATTAAAGTTTGATCTCCCTTGATGTAGTTCGGCCTTCTTACTCTTAAGACATGAGATCTGAAGCCTGCAGAGGTCATGTGGCAGGTAGAGCAGTCACGGAGCCAACTGAAGACCAAGTGAAGAGCTTGCATGTTCCTGGCCACCTGTGCAATATTCTTTCCATTGCAACAGCTGGAAGCCTCCAACCTGTGTGTGGAGCTGTTTCCCCTGCACCGTAGGGGCACAGCCTGCACCTCTGCTGGCTTCTGCCTCCTGCCAGGCCTGTCCCTTCTGAGACTCCCTCTGCTCAAAGCCTCTGTGGGCTGCATCAGGAAATGAGGAGAAAGATCTCGGTTCTCTTTTGAGCCTTTGGTAGCAGGCTTGGGATTGGCAAGTAAAGCCGAGAAGGAGAAAAGACAGTTAGCCCCAGGGGGTTGGCAGGGGTTTATACTAATAGCTCACTTTCATGGAACATCTTTTGGGTACCGGACTTGTTACTGACCTTTTTCCTATGCATTCCTATAAACTCCATGGGGGCAAATACTAATCAGCCCCACACTGTAGACAGAGAAACTGAGGCTCCTGGAGGAGCTACGTGGCGGATAAGAGAACACATCACTTCTTCATACAACCAGGGACTGCTGTAATGGCCTAAATGCAGCACAAACTGTCTGTCATCCGCCGTGAACCCAACAAGCCAGACCCCGAGTCCTTGGAGAAAGGGCTCTGCTGTGGAATGTGGTTGTTCCCGGGGTGGAACTTTGAGCCCTTTCTGCTTCACACTATTGGAACATATTTCTGAATGGCGTCTACTTACACACTTGTCTACTTACACACAGAACACGGGGAGAGTAGGTTAAGCAGCTTTTTTTTTTTTTGTTTCTTTCCTTTTTAAATGGAAACTCCTGCCACTAGTTTGCTTCCCGTTCCATTCACTGTTTGCTCTTGAATGCGGCATGACTTGGGAATTTTCATTGCTTGAGGGGGTTTGGTTATGCCTGAGACCCTGGTAGGGACTGCAGGTGTTCCTGGTTGGTGGGGGGTACTGTCTTCCACCCCTTCCGCCTTCTACCCCATTCCGATCCCACAGCACGCGAGCATGGCAGGAGCCCTCCCTCCATTCATTTGCTTTAGTGTCCCTCAGGGACAGGAGAATAAATCAAAGCAGGTCAGAGCCTCAGAGAAAGGACAAGGGTTTCCCAAACATGTCACAGCGTCTCACTACCTCTTCCTCTGGGTTTCCTGCCTAACCAGACCTTGCCTTCTTCCTTAGAAGAAACCTGGTAGCTTTTTGGATTATTCTGATAGTAAGAACCACCAAACAAAACCAGATGGACACGTTCTGATCCCTGGAGAAGGATGTACTGATTTTTGTTGTTGTTGTTGCTGCTGCCAGGATTTGGTGTCTTGCAGCTGAAGGTGAGGGTCAAGTACAAGTGAATTCTAGACATTTGACAAATCACCAGAGTTAGGAGCATTCTGGGGTTAAAAACTGGGGATGGGTGACCACCTCCATTCGTCTCCTCTCTCAAATGCCTCGCTTTGGAGAAGCCAAAGGCCCTTTAGAGGCTGTGTGGTTGGAAAATGCTCTGATTAAACTGATAACGAAGGTGGCGTATTGAGGTGAGGGGGAGACACTGCAGGCTCTGCAAAGCTCTGGGAAACGTGGTCTCTGTGTAAGAGCCCTGGAATTGCTGAATGAACGCTGCTGCTTCCTCTCCGTGTACGAGCAGCCTCTCTGCTTCCCCAACGCCGCCGCGCTGCCCGTGTCTGCAGTAACTACAAACTATTTGGTATGCTGCATTAGTGACGGCTGCCCGGGGCCGACGCATCATTACTACCGAAATAATGCCGGTGTGATGTTCAAGCCCGGTGTCCTTTTTAATTATTAAACCGAAGCTGGCTCGAGTGAGTCACTTCACATCCCACATTTTCCTCCCTTGGTTCTATTTCGAGTGCCTAGTACCTGAGCGCGTGCCACTGGCGCCTGGCTTGATTCTGAGCCAGCTCTCCAACCTGCAGAAGCCCTTTTGCAGATCAAATGTTATCTCACCTCCAAACCCACATAAGAAGGCACAGATCATAACCCCCCCTCCCCACAGCCTGGCCCCCCAGCCCCAATCACAACTTCATAAAGTGCCTCATCAAACACCCAAGATCTGAACAAAACGTCTAGCTGCCCATCCACCAGTTTCCCCCCCAACTTACCAAGTGGGAGAGCGATGAAGAAGGGGAGCCAACACAGGATGAACATACCGACCACGATGCCCAGGGTCTTAGCTGCTTTCTTTTCCCTGGAGAACTTGAAGAGTTTGACGGCTATGGAACTCCTGGGGTTGTGGCCCTTGGCCTTGGTGCTGCTGAGGGTGTCCTCGTGAAAGTTCTTGGAGTGGATCCTTAGGGTGAGCTCCTTGGAGTTGGACATCTCCTTCATGACGCCGGCCTCCAGGTTCTTGGTGGTCCTCTTGGCCACGACGTAGACGCGGCAGTACATGACCAGGATGACGGCCAGGGGGATGTAGAAGGAACCCAGGGAGGAGAAGAGCGCGTAGAAGGGTTCTTCCGTCACCCCGCATTCCTTGTCGTCGTTGGGGGCCGGCTCCTTCCAGCCCAGGAGGGGCCCGATGGAGATGACGGTGGACAGGACCCACACGCTCAGGAGCGCCAGGATGGCCTTCCTCCGGGTGACCAGCGTGGGGTACTGCAGCGAGTAGCGCACCCCGATGTAGCGGTCGATGGAGATGGCGCACAGGCTCAGGATGGAGGCCGTGCAGCACAGCACGTCCACTGCGGCCCAGATGTCGCAGAACACCCGGCCCAGCACCCAGTACCCCAGCACCTCCAGGGCGGCGGAGAAGGGCAGCACGCTGCAGCTCAGCAGCAGGTCGGCGATGGCCAGGTTGACGATGAAGTAGTTGGTGGGCGTCCGCAGGTGCCGGTTGCAGGCCACCGACAGGATGACCAGGATGTTGCCCACGATGGCGAAGAGGATGAAGGCGCCCAGCACCAGGCCCACAGAGACGGCCCTGGTGACGTCCAGCTGGGGCGGCGCGGGGTGGCCCCAGGTCTGGTTGGGGCCGGTGGTGGAGTTGGCGGGGCTCCGCTCTGCCCAGTGGGACGCGTTGGGCGGGTGGTGGCTGGTGTTCAGGTCCGGATTCATTTTAGAGTCCGCCCTCCATAGCCGGGGGGCGGGCGGGTGGGCGGGTGGGGGGGGGAGGAGGAGGAGGAGGAGGAGGAAGGCGGCCGGGCCGGCGGTGGAAGGTGCTCAGCTGCCCACAAACTTTGCGGTGCCCGCGGCCGTCGTCTTCCCGGGGGCGCCCTCCGGCCGGGGACGCATCTTCTGGCGCTGCGGGGTGGGAGGTGGGTGTGGGGGGCGCGCCTGCTGCCCGCACCGCGGCTGGAGAGGAGGAGGAGGAGGAGGAGGGAGGGGACGAGGCCGGCGGCGGCGGCGGCGGCTCCGA